AATAGGCTGACTTCAGAAATACCTGGAAAGACTTGTATAGTCTGATGCTGAGTGAAGTGAGCAGAACCAAGAGAACGTTGTACACAATAACAGCCATGTTGTGCAATGACTAATTGATAAACTTAACCCTTCTCAGAAATACAAGGATCTAAGACATCTCCAAAGGCCTCATGACAGAAAATGCTATCCACAAAGAAGAAAGAACTATGGAGTTTGAATACAGATCAAAGCATACTATTTGCTATTTTTTTTTCTTCTGCTGTGTTTTGTTTCCTCCTTCTGGTGGTTCCTCCTATTGGTTCTAATTCCTACTTATAACATCACTAATGTGAAAATATATTTAATAGGAATGTATATGTATAACCTATATCAGATTGTGTACCGTCTTAGGGAGAGAAGTGGGGAGGGAGGGAGAGAAGTGGGGAGGGAGGGAGAGAAAAATGTAAAACTCACAAGCTTATGGAAGTGATTGTTGATCATTCAAAAGAAATTAATTTTAAAAAAGATAAAAAATAAAATATATAAAAAATAAAGATAAAAAAAGAATTCATCTCCTGCCTGTAGGTATCAAAGGTATATGATCTGTTTCTCTTCTAAAATTTTTATGGTATGATTTTTAATATCCAGGTAATGTATCCATTTTGAATTTATTATAGAATATAGTATAAGATGTTAGTCCAAACTTAATTTCTGCCAGAATGATTGCCAGTTTTCCCACTAGTTCTTATCAAGTAGTGAGCTCTTTCCTAAGTAATTTACGTTTATGTTTTTGTCAAACACTAGATTACTGAGTTCTATCATTTTTATTTTTGTCTAGTCAATCCCACTATTATTTAACAAATAACAATGGTTTTACTGATTGCTGCTTTTCAAGAGTTTGAGGTCATACATTTACTTTAAGCCCTAAATTCCTCCCCCAACCACAACTTCATTTTCAGTGGATGACTTAGTTTCAAACTTTATTTATGGGAAAAGAAACCAGTTCATTCAGTAGCAGTTCTTCATAGAATTCTATTTCTGTCTATGGTCTCATCCTTCCCCGCAATCTCAGAGGGAGAGGCAACCTTTTCTAAAACCATCTACTGGATTCCATCCTCTCCTACCTCCTCTAGTGTCCATGTTTCCAAATTTTCTCCTCCTTCTTTAGCACCTTCAACATCTACTTTTGTATAGGTTTACATTGGATTCATGAAAATAAATCTGAATCCACTTTACAGTACTATTACCCTGTCTGTATCTCCATCCTGTCCACAAGGACAGCATCACTGACTCTGCCAAAATCTAGATAATCATTGTCAAAGCATCCCATTGATGTACATGTTCAGTAACCCTATCAAAAGGAGAATGACATTAGTCTTGTACTTCATTCTATCTGGGGGAGTCAGAAAAGCCCTGAAAAAGAAGATAGCACCTATGCTGGGCCATGATGGAAGGACTTTCATGGTTCTGCTAACTCTCTGAAGGTTCTCTTCTTTTCTTTCTCATCTCTTCCCACTCCTCACAAGGCACTACTGCTTTAGCCTGCTGCATGTCTCTTTACAGGGCTTTCATAACAAGGTTACCCACTGTCATTGCTCAGTGTCCAGGTATAAATTTCTATGTTGATTCCAAAATCTCTATCCCCAACTTTGAGCTCTCCTTGAAGGTTACCGAGATTCTATGATTCCCCTGAACTACTATATACAAGAACAAGAGACTCTCTAGTCCTTGATTACTACCACGTTCAGCTTTCTCTCTCTGAGTATTGATAGAAAAAGGGATGGAGGATCACTAAATTGGCAAGATAGCAGGGTAGTTGTATAAGTCAGAAAAACACACCAAAGCTACAGTAATGAAAGCTGAATCAACAAGCTGAGCCAGAAACCCCACACAAGGAAACAGTGTTGTGGAAGCAACACTGGACAGTTGAAATCCTACAAGGAAACAGTGTCATAAAAGCAACACTGGACAGTTGAAATGCTGAAAGCATTCACTCTCTTTATCAAGTCTCCAAGACCACCCCGAATTTTGGGCACAGCCAGAACAAGCAGCCTCACTGGCTTATGTCTCAGGGTATGATTGCAGTGGCCCCCCAACCCAGCAGCTCCCTAGCAGTGACTTATAACCTCCTTCCACCCCTCACTCCATAAAAGACAGGAAAAAAAAAACAACCTTGTCCAACTGTGGAAAGAGAAGAGTGTGAAACTTTTTTTTTTTAATTTAAGAGGGGGAAGAGAAGAGTGCAAAAGAGACAGCAGCACAAACCCAGATAGAGAAAAGAGGGTTTATGTGCTCAAAAACGAAGGGACCTGAAGTCAGTCCTTTCTCCCATTGAGTTAATCTGGACAGAGATGTAGCTGGGACCCTAATTTGAGAAGGCTGAGAACACCCAACTTGAGGAGACTTGTGTAGAAGAAATCTTGTGACCCTGGTGGAAAGAGGAGGTGGCAAACAGTAACAAGAAAATCCAGAGAAAAACTACTGGGAATATAAAAAAAAACAAACAAACAAACAAAAAAAAAAAAAAAGAAAGAAAAAGAAAAAACCTCCAAAAGAAAAAGTTCAGTATGACACTAGCACCAAAGCAGAAAAATAACAGGTGAGGTACATAAATCCAGAAGGAAAAGTAAATTTTTTAAAGACAAATAATAAATGCCATATTTTTAAATAAAGTGAACCAAAAACAGCCAATGAAAAAGAACTCTCTCCCAGTATGATGGTGAGCAGATCAGTTCACACACAAATATTCTAGTAATGATAAAAAAAAGTACAGCAGCCCTAATAATAATCAAGAAATTCAAAGTAACTACAGTGAGTGCCTTCATCCAGCTCAGGGCTACACAAGGAGAGAGAGAAGACAGAAGACTTCCAGTACTCAGGAAAAGGTCCAGCTAGAAAAGCAGGGGTGAGCACAGTGCTAAGAAGCTGTGAATTTGACTGAATTACTTGGAAGAGAAATGCAAATTAAACAACTTTAAGATTTCACCTAAGACCCAGCAAATTGGCAAAGAAGACAAAAGACAGTAAGAGTCAATACTTAAGAGGCTGTGGGAAGACCTGCAAACTAATACATTACTCGTGGAGTTATGAATTGGCCCAACTATTCAGGAAAACAATTTGGAATTATATGGGGGGAAAAGTTACTAAATTATTCATAGGCTTCAACTCAGAGCTCCCACTGCTGGGTACATGCTTTAGGTAGTCAAAGGCAGAAAGGTCTCCTATTGATCAAAATATTCAAAGCAGCACTTTTTGTGTTAGGAAAGAACTGAAAAGAAAATGGGCACCTCTCTACCGAGGAATGGCTAGACAAACCGTGATGTGTACATGTCATGGTTTATAGTCCTGCAAAAAAAAAAAAAATTATGAGACATCCAGAAAAATAAGGAGAAAATATGTATTATTAGATTGTGAGCTACTCAAGAGTAGGGACTATCTTTTGCCTCTTTGTAACACCAGTACTTACTTAGCACAGAGCCTGGCACATAGTAGGTGCTTAATAAATATTTATTGATATTTATAGCAGCTCTTTTTGTGGTGGCAAAGAATTGGAAATTGAAAGAATGTCCATCAATTGGGGAATGGCTGAACAAGTTGTGGTATATGAATGTAATGGACTACTACTATTGTTCCATAAGAAATGATGAGCAGGCAGATTCTAGAAAAACCTGGAAAAACTTACATGAACTGATGCTGAGTGAAGTGAGCAGAACGAGAACATTGTACACAGTATCAGCAACATTGTGTGATGATCAGCTGTGACTGACTTCCTTCTTCTCAGCAATACAGTGATCCAAGGCAATTTCATAAATATTTATTGGCTAACTGAATTTATGCAGAGTGAATTAAGTAGAACCAGGAAGGCAATATAAACCAAGAGAAAACCAATAGGCTGAAAAGGGCAGTAAGAGAAAACTGAATGCTCAATAATTATAAAAGCTTATCTTGGCACTGGTGGAGGGAGGAGGAATTATACCTCTCTCCTTTCACTGGAAGAGTGGGGGCCTACGTGGGTGGACGACAGCACCAACAAGTGAGGTTGATGTGTTGGTGGGCTCTGCGCAACTGTTCGCTCCCCCTTTGCTGCAAAGGAAGGATGGAGGATAGGAGGGGAGGAGGCGAATCAAGCAATCAATAAATCGATCAGCAAGCATTTATTTAGGCACTGGGTATACAAATATAAAGAATAAAAATAAATGGATCAAAAACAAAAAAGTCATGGACTTGAACCAAATGAGCTTTCCTGTATGGGGGGGGGAGACAGGTGGAGAGGGGAGGGAGGGGGTGTTATGTCCTTGCACCTTCCCATCCCCTCCAAATAAGGCTGGAGAACAACTGTCACAGGGAGCGGGGCTTTTGTTCAAAAAGGGGCGGGGGTGGGGTGGAGGGTGTTTTCGTTCCACGGGGCAGAAATAGCATTAGGAATCTGAAGATCTGGGTGCGAATCCATGACTTGGATTCCCAGAGACCCCCTCCCCTTGTTGATCCAGCCGCTTCCTTCAGGCCACACATAAATGTACACACACGGACACACATACAGACATACACAGATACACACGCATATTTTTACCACCGTCCCACCTGAGCCAGTCCACACAAGCTCCAGGCTCCAAGTCCCAAGCCGAACGACGCCTGCGCACACCCTAACGCCCCGCGCGGACTCTCCTTCCCAGCAGCCTCAGCGGTTCCCTGCCCCAGGTTCCTAAAGCTTGTAAGGGCATTGAACTACTCCAAGTGGAAAGGTCTTCTGGGAAATTGAGTCCAAGTCCCCATACCTTGGGACTCTAGCTCCTTTGGGAAATGTAGTCTGGGATATCCGTCAGCGCAGGCTCAGAGAGGGTCCTGGGCAGAGGCGAGTCACCATGGTAATCGCCACTTGCTTGTGGGCAGTATGGATGGGGAAACTGAGGCTCAGAGTTGGCTAGAGAGGAAGCTGTTGCGATCTGAGACGTTGAGACCCCTCAAAGACTGGAGAACCGGATGGGGTCGTCTGGAATGAATTCACAGACTCAAGCATTCTTTAAGTCAAAGTGGCAACGATTTATTGTTACGCTTTTCAGCGGGCAGGGATAGGTCTTTCTTTTCCTCTTCCCCCCCAACTCCTTTTCCACCATATATAACATTCTTAGGGTATAGTTCTGGTACTAGAATGATTAAATAAAAAGATATAAAGTTTTGTAGATATTATATAATGCTTTCAAAAGGAGGCACCAATTCATGGCTATATCAGTAGTGTTAGAGTGTGCCTGTTTTTTCACAGCCTTTCCAACATTGAATTTTATCCTTTTAAAACCACCACTGCCAATATTATCAGCTTAGGGGAAGTACATATGAAAATATTTGTTTTGGGGTAGCACCAATCTTGTGCTAACTTGTATTTCGTATTTAACAAAGTGATAAACCTGAGGTTTTGCCTAAGACATCATATTCTCAGGGTTACTCTCTGGCATAACGTCGCTGATGTTGGATGATTGATGCCTTGCTACAAAAAGTTTTTCCACACACACTGCATAGATAGGGTTTCTCTCCAGAATGGGTTTTTTGATGTCGAGTAAGTGATGGAAAATCAAAGAAGGTTTTTCCACATTCATTACATCCAAAGGACTTTTCTTGAGTATGGATCCTCTGATGTAGAGAAAGGGATGAATGTCTAGCAAAGGCTTTTCCACATTCATCACATTCATAGGGCTTCTCTCCAGTATGAATTCTTTCATGAACCATTAGGGATGAAGGGTTTAAGAATGGTTTCCCACATTCACTACATTTATAGGGACTGTCTCCTGTATGAGTCATATGATGTCTCATAATGGCACTTCTATGCCTGAAAGCTTTTCCACATTCATTACATTTATAAGGCTTCTCTCCAGTATGAATTCGTTCATGTTCAGTAAGGGATGAATGTTTAGAGAAGGCTTTTCCACATTCACCACATTCATAGGGCTTCTCTCCAGTGTGAATTCGCTTATGGGAAGTAAGGTAAGAATGGTTCAAGAAGCATTTTCCACATTCCTTACATTTATAAGGTTTTTCTCCAGTATGTGTTAGCAGATGTCGTGTTAGATTACATTTCCAGCTAAAGATTTTCCCACATTCATTACATTCATAGGGACTCTCTCCAGTATGACTTCTCTGATGTTGAGTAATAGATGACCAGTCAATAGTTTCCCCACATTGGTTGTATTCTTGGCCTTGCCCCTTAGTGGTGTTTTGGGGGGGAATAATTAACAGATGCCTAGAATCTCTCTCACGGGAAAGGAACGTCTCCCATGTCTTCCCTTCAGAGTTTTCCTTCTTCCTGTCCAATGTGCCACCAGGTACTCGAACTCCTCTACATGCAGAGTCTACTGTTAATGTTCCTAATGATTCCACTTCTTCTGGAATTTTCTGCTTTGGAGATGACTTCCGGGTGTCACAACTCTTCCAGTCTGAAACCAAGAGAAAACACAACTATAATAAGTTCTCTGTGTTATTTAAAAAAAAAGAAAAGAAAAAGTTCCAACAGAAAGGATAATGAAACTGAAAATAATGACCCCAAAACATTTAGACAGAAAAAATACAGGAAGCAGGAAACAAAATTGGGTTATTGGGCCCCTTGCTCATTAAGAAGCTGGAGAAAAGTGATTAGCTCCCTAAGCAAAGTGAGCAGAAAACATGAAATCCAGGACTGTGGGAAAAGTCACCAGAGCAATGTGGAGTCTAATGAGTAGGAAGGGCAGAGATTGAATTATATGATGGAATCCAGAAAAATTAACTTTCAGTCAGTAAGGGAGGTGATGCTAGGAAAAGGCAAATTGAGAGGAAGTGCTAGTAGATAGTAAAAGACACATGAAAAGGGAAGAAGAGGAATCACAACTAAGGAAAAGGTGATACTTCACCCTGGGGAAGATAGGAGACACAGCTTTCCTGCCTGTGTTGCTCATGGCAATAACAACTGTAGCAGGCCTTGAGACCACTGAGAACAGTGATCTCTCACCAAACTGCCAGGCTGTACTTAACAGTGATTTCTTTATTTCTGGTTCTCAATACTCACCCAAAGAAGAATTGTTTGGCAACTCTCTTTCTTTAGCTCTTGGCAGACCAAGTAACCATGGCTCTTTGCCTTGTTCCAACTGGAAGATCACATCAGGTTTAGATATTGGAAGTCCTATTGGTGGAAAGGAAATGTCAGTATCAGTCAACATTTATATGGATGGCACTGTTTGCAAATCCTTTACATACACTGTCACAATTTTATTATAAACCCATGAAGTAAATATGATAGGCATTATTATCCCTACTTTAGAAAAGTAGAAACAGACTCATGGAGGCTAAGTGACTTAGCCATGGTCACAGAGTTTTGTCCAAAAACACAGAACTGTCCCAGAAGTCATAAATATAATTCTCATACAGACTCACTCATATACTCATTAACTCTTTACAATATCTTGGTCTTTCTATTCACTCCTGAGCTCTCTGAAATACTTTTATAATTACTGATGCAGCAGTAGCACTACAGCACCGGCAGGGACTGGTTTCCATGTTTTCACACAACACTGAGTCCCTCAGCTCTCTATTTGGAGGTAGACACAATGTTTCACCAGGAGTCCTTTGGAATTGTGGTGGGTCCCTGCATTAATCAGAGCTCCAAAGTCTTTTAATGTTGACTGATTATTTTAAAAACATTACTGTTTCTCCGTAAATTATTCTCTTGGTTCTGTTCACTTGCTCGATAGTGTCCACTGAAATTCCTTCTCTCGCTATGGTTTTGTTCTTTATTTTGTCAGGTTCAGCGTCCAGGTATTCTGATATTGAGTGCCTAAAAGATCTTGACAGTACTGGCCCCCAACTGATTTAGGTAGTTTCCCTCCCAAAGTTTCCCTCTTCCAGCAGGCTCCATAATATCATTGCTGGGGCTTGTGTTTATAGAGGCCTTCATTTTCTTTAGTCTAGTCACCTCCTTGTCACCAGTGTTAAGTCATAGCACCTTTCTGTAGCACACCCTATCCTCCAGCACAGATTTTAAAATAAAAAATTTCTCTTCTACTTAGGGCATGTCAAAAATATTAAAAAAATTAAAAATTCAACAAAATAAAACACACAGATAATGCAGCCATCTCTATTACCTTTTTAAATTTGAGTTCCCCCCTCCCACCCAGGACTTTTTTTCCTCTGCCTATTGTTCCATATACTATAGTATTGGCCTACTGGCTTCACTGTACACCTTAATGCCTACTAGATACTCTGTTCTCCCATCATTCTGAGCTATTCCAATGAGCTCTGCCCCATGCCTTTGTTTCCCCACCCTGTCAGTTTTTGACTCAGCAGGTGACTCCTCTGCTTTTGAGCCCCTCACCCCTCACCCTTCTAAATTCAAGAACTTCTTGTACCATATACTCGCTCCTCTACTTTTTCTTATTCTGGAGATAGATTTCTTTAAAAAGTCTGTGGCATTCCACCTTTCTCTAAGCAGCAAGACTTCATTGTTACCTTCAGTTATATCCCAGTGCAGCAAGGTTTCAAAGTAGTTTCTGTAAGTATCTCTTATGTGACCACACTTCAGACATAGTCACAGTGAAATAAATATAAATAACTACAAGCACATCTCTGTACTCACTCCCATTTAACAGAGGAATGTTTTAACATGGGGCAGATGCTAGATCACAGGGTGGAAGCCTCTCTTACCCAGTGACACGAGGTTTCTATAGTTCTCCAGCATCACATCCTTGTACAGGTCCCTCTGAGCAGAGTTCAGCTGTCCCCACTCCTCCTGGCTAAAGTTCACAGCTACATCCTTGAATGTCACTGATGCCTAAAATACAAAGACATTCTTACTCAGCCATGGAAGCCACAACCCCAGGGGAAGGGGTAAAATTGAAAACATTTGGAGAGACAGAGGCAATGTTGAAGGCTCTGAGTACCATGTGGTAAGGGGAAAAGTAGAGGCCAATGACCTAAGGTAGAAGGACAGCTTGACTCTGTGTCACTGTGCCTATCACTGGGCCCTACTGAGGAAGAGCCTCGTTAATGAGAGATATTCTTCACACTCCATGTGGGTAGAGAAGATCCATGAAGAGTAGAGAAAGTTGCCGTACTCTGGAAATTGTGACAACATTTCAGGGGAGAGAGAAACACCCAATTCACCTGGTACCTGACTGCCAGGAATGTTGGCATTATTCCCTCTTCTTCTGTCCTTTTTCTCTTACAAAAAGGCAGAGTCCTGAGAACTGGGGGCTGGGGAAGAAAAGAAGGAGACATTGAGGGAGAATGGTCTTGTTTTATGATGATTCCATAAACGACTTATAAAAATCATTTTTCATTATCTCTTAGTAAAACACCTCACACATTATACTTTATCTATGTCAAATCATTCTTGGTAAAGTCCCATGAAATAAGAGAAGGAAAAGTATGCAAAACAGTAACATGTGACAGACTTTTAATGGTAAGGAATTCTAGCTATTGCTCATTTCATTTCACAGATAGAAAGATTGAGGAAAGAAAGGGAAGAAACCTCTAAAGAGATTTCCCTGGGTTTTTGGAGTGCAGGACAATGAACAGATTATGCTTTTAACAGAAGCAGCCTGTTCTTTCTATGCTTTACCTTTCTTCCTATGATTATACACAGTGAGCTAAATCTCAGCTGAGCAACTCAGAGGTTCCACAACTACTACTAATCTTCTCTGACAGATGCCAGAGCTACTGTATTGGTGAAGTCTTCCCATCCGTATCAGTGACAATAGGCCTTGCCTGGCTCCCATCTTTATGAGGCCCCCTTAGCTCAGCCATTCTTTGCAACATCATAATTTACAACCAGGTCATTTTATAGCTGCACACATGAAGGAAAGATGGTGTTATAAAATAAGCTACTCTTCTCCTCTGTGGCTTCAACCAGCGCAGGGATGATCTCCATTGAGTAATGGGTTGAAAGAATTTTCCTTCAGTGAAAATGAAAGGAGAGGACAGGACACGATATAGAGGCCCTATGAGGTAAAAATTGGGAAAATCAAATTGATTCTGTTATTGATTCCATTCTGTATCACTACCAACATTTTTGTAAGTGCCTAAGTCATATTTCATTTGTCTCAGAGTTAAGTTTGGAAATTCAACATTCCTGTAAATCACTCATTTTCTCTAAGTTTAGAAGTTCAGTTCTCCTGTTCTAAATTCTTGCCTCAAGAACATCTGCTGTCCTTGAAGGATGCAGGTGAACACCAGGGAGTCTGATCCACTGTGTCTAAACTGTACTTGCAACTGGACTCAAACAATGAACATTTCTTTGTGACAGGATGGAAGGCGGAGTTGTTGCTAGCTGCTCATTCTTAACTTCCAGCCAATCATACTGTTCCTCATGCCTGTGATGCTTCAGACTGTGTAACAAATCATACTGTTTTCTTCATCTATGATGCAACAAGCTTTGTAACCAATCATGGAGGAAAACATTTCCCATTTATGATGCTGCTTTCTAGTTTTTGGACGTTCCTCCTTTTGTCTGTAAAAATGATGTTTGCCCTTATTTGGGGTCTTTTGGTTTGCTGAGGTGCTAAAGACCCCTTTAATTGGTAACTGCTAGCCTTATCAATAAATTGAACTTGCTTGGAACTTTGTGCATCAGTTTACCTTAATTTCTACAGTAACAGATGAATCTTCAAATACACTCACTCAGTAAGAAGAGGGAAAAGCCATGATCCAGTTTTGGTCCTTTTCTTTTCCCCAAGTCTCATTTTTTTTTAACCATTCTCATCTCTATTTGGCAGGGGTCAAGTTTTTACCATCCTCACCTCTATTTGGTAAAGGCCTTTGGTTCAAATTCTCCACCTTCTCACTGCTCTTTGGACATCATGCTTCCAATCCAACTCCTTGAGCATGACGGTCAGAAATTACCCTGGTACTGGAAGGAACGGATTTTTCTTTGTATAAATCTCTAGCTTTGAACATGAACATCCCATATCCTGCAGTAGGTCTGGTGTCTGTCAAGGCCTTGTTCCCTCCTGGTATTGAAACTGGAGGTCCATCAAATGTGTATTTTTAAGCTGAATGGAATTCTCTTCAGGAACCCAAGTTTTCCCTGTAGAGCAAGAAACTAAGGAATCTGGAGATCAACAAAGGATCGGGCTCTTGCCCAAATGGACTTTTGAGTAATTAGGGGATGGAGGAAGAGAGTACAAATGTTTTTCTCTCTGACAGAGCACAAATTCTCTGGAGCCACAAAGGCTGGATCATGAGTTTCTATCAAGGACTGATAAAGTGATAAAGGGGGAAAAAATCAGCATTAAGGAAGTATAAACCACAGATGCTTGGTTCCAGCCTCAAGGAGCTGCATGCAGAGAAAGTCACTGATCCAAAATACAGAAATCATCTACTATATGAGCATAAGGAAGCAATGTGGCACTAGTGTTTGACAAGCATAGAGTTCCATTGAGATCTTTTTTTTTTTTTGAGGCAATCGGGGTTATGTGACTTTCCCAAGCTAGTGAGTGTCAAGTGTCTGAGGCCACATTTGAACTCAGGTTCTCCTGACTCCAGAGCCGGTGCTCTATCCACTGTGCCACCTAGGTGCCCCCATTTGGATCTTTTGGAAGCAAAACATTAGGGTCTCAAATTTGTAGAAAATTGAAATTAAGAAACACATATGATTAACTACATTTTTCAAGATGACATTTAAAAGCTATTAGTTGATTAAAATAAAAAATCTATCTGTTTATATTAACATACACTGTATCTTAAAACATTAGTATTTTAATATATATGACAAGATGGATATTAGCTTATTCTCATAAAACTACTATGTATCTTTGATAAACACTGCTCCTAGGTTGTCATTTTAATGGTGTAAAACCCCAGTTTGACAGCAGGCACTGCCTTTTGCCTTTCTTTGTATCCCCCAGCTCTGGATATGAAGTGCCTGGACCACAGTAGGTGCTTAATAAATGTTTATTGACTCGCAACAGTATATGGTAATTTATATGGTAATAATGTAGAACTTTCTAGCCTTTTCCATAAGGACTTTTCACAAGAGTCTATAAGATCCAGACCTGTGTCTGACTGGTACAATTAGCTAATAGAAAGGAATCTCTAAATGGCAACAACTCTCCAAACAATTGTTTGAATATTCAACAATAAAAAAATTTCTACTAGATCTGATCACTAAAAATAAAAAAAGACCATATACTTACACAGATATATGAAACATACAAAAAGAGACACTCATTGCCTTTCATCCTAAGCAGGTAGACAAATTAAATCCTCCTGCCCCAACAAATTTAGTTCAAATACTGAGATATACATGCTGTTTAAACCCTCAGTTTCATTACCCTTTATACCTTCATTTTCTATGGATGAATTAATAGATGAGATCATCCAGTTGCAATTCACCAGATTACCATTTTACCTCAGAAACTGTATCTCTGCTTTCATACTTTCCTTTGGTATGTGAGGAAGAGGTAATTGTTCAAGATATGTTTTTATTGGTGTCTGATGTCTTTACTTCAGTCACTTCTAGGGGAAACAGTCTTCCCTTTTTTAAAGCCAGCCTCCCTCGATCTGAATTTCATCACCTCCCATGTCCTTTAACATTCAAGTCCCAAAATAATCATCACCAACCTTTGTATCGCCAATCTCTTCTTCTGTGCTTTTACTCCTATGTGTAAACTTGATTGTTAAACCAAACTTTATATTGATCCCTAATAAACTTTACCTTATTATATTTGGTTCTGGCCTGTCAGGATTTTTTTTTTGTCCTGACTCAGATTCAAAGTTAGTTATCCTCACTATCTTTGTGCCATATGTAAGTTTGACACACATAATTTATGCTTTTATTCAAGAAATGAAGCAGTATGATACAGTAGAAAGGACTTTAGATTTGGAGCCAGAGAACCTCAATTTAAATTCTGGTTTTTTAATTGATTACTTGTGTGATTTTGGGCAAATCACTTAACTTTGCTGGGCTTCAACATCCTCATTTATAAAGTGAAGGAGATAGACTAGATGACCTCTGAGGTTCTTTCAAGCTATAAATCTATGATCCTATGTTAAGATCTTACAAATGATTAAAATGTTGAATGGCATAAGCCGAGCGAAGCTCCCGGGGCACCCCACTGGAGGCCTCCTTCCAGGCCATACTCTCATTATTCTTTGTACCTGACCCTTTGATGAACACTAACGTTATATTGTCCAGTCCTTACTTATCTACTCCATCCACAAGCATAACACGTAGAGCCTTTGCCAAAATTTAAGTAAACTATATCTTCAATACTCCTTCGATCTGTCTAAATCAATTTAGTCAAAAGAGAAAATGTGGTTAATACGGCATGAATTTATCTATCTAGGGGAATTAGGAAAGGCTTCGAGGTGGCATTTAGGCTAGGCCTTGAAGGAAAGACTTTTCCTGGTTGTTGTTAACTCTAGGGAGATTCTTCCCTTCCCCCCTTTCCTTCTCCCACCCCTACCTGTGGATATATCACAAGGTTCTATCTCTGCCTCCTCCACTTTTCTCCATGTACAACTTCTATGGTTCTCTCATAGCTTCAATAATACTTTCCATGTTGAAGACTTCTAAATATTCTATAGGCTCAACTCTAAACTCTCCAGGATAAAGAGAATTCTTCTGGGGGCCAGGATGGTAAGAAAGAAACATGACCAAAGCATTTGGTTAGATATGAGTTTGGGGATACAGTGTTGTAAGTACAGGGATACAGATATAAAGCTATCTTTATGAGTGGAGGAGATCACGAAGGAAGAAAGTATAAGATGAGGTTGAAGGCAGAAGCCTCTGTAAGGGAACAGAAGGAGGGATAGGGGCCACAGAAGTGATCAGAGAGGTAGGAGGTGAACCAGGACAGTGAATATCAATGAAAGAAAGCCAACAGAGTAGTAGAAAGTTTCTAGCAGTGAGTGGTCACAAGTGTCATACGGTGAGACTTCAAGTAGAATGGGAAGTGAGAAAAGGTCACTGTACTTAGGAAATGGGAGATATTTTTTCCCAGACTTACTGGTATAGTTATTTTCACTATTTTATTACTAAACAGTCTTCCTTATTACTAAATTACTTAGTCTTACTTATTAGTAAATAGTCTTAATTCAGTTAACAAATAAACAGGAGCACCTTGTGACAGCTGTGTCCATTCAAATGTGTGTGGGGTAAGCCAGTTCATTAACACATTACTAATACCAGGACCACCTGGTATGAGTCTCAGGAGATGTCAGTGACCAAGCATGAGGACAGTGCTGACACTGTCCAGATAGAAAATTTTAAAGTCATCATTAAAACTTATCAGCAATTTCTAAAACTGATTAATAGGAAATTGTCATAGGTGGCCAGATTTTTGATTGGAAGCCATGAGACAAAGAGGAAGGCAATTGGGGAGGGGAGTGTAAAAGCACTGGATTTTGAATCAGAAGCTTAAAGATTTAGGAGCTGTTTGATATGGGCAAGTTAAGTTTGCCTCTCTAGGCCTCAGTTTCCTTCTCTGTAAAATTCTGTGGTTCAATTCAATTCATACACTGGAAACACCACCCAATTTATAGTCACCTGGTTTAATCCCCAACGCCGCACCTTACCACCTGATTAATATTGTTCAAGTCATTTAACCTGTCTAGGCTTCAGTTTCCTCATTGGTAATATTACAGGGCTGGAATCGATGACTTACACGTTCCCTTCTGGCTCTCAATGTAGGAGCCCACAATTTCTAAAGTCCCTTCCAGATTTGATGGTTTCTCACATTAATTAAAAGCAGATTCTGACAGCTTTTGTTCTTCCCCCCATCTGTACTGACCACCACTCCAAGTCTCTCTCCTCCTGCCCCAATGAGAGAGGCATGACTTACTACTTTTTACAGAGTAATACAGGTGTTGCTTGGAAAAGCCCCCGACCTGAACGAACCTCAAAGTACACTCCTGTCCTCGGCTCCAAACAAGCTTTCGTGAAGGGGCGGGGGGAGGGGGGAGGGGTACAGAGTGATTTTACGTCCCTCTTGCACCCTATCCTCAGCACCTATGAACCTTCCCCTCCTCCCCAGCCACAAAACAGGGGCCGGGCTTTTCTCCGGAAAAGGGGAGAGAGTTTTCGTCCCAAGGGACAGAGACTGCAATAGGAGTCTGAAGATATAGGTGCGAATCCAGCTGTGCCTCGGATCCCGAGAGGACACCCCGGCCCCCACCCGCCCCGTGTCCGCTGACCCCTCTTTCCTCAGGCCACACACGGGGAGGCACATAACGCATACGGACATACGAACAGACAATACGGACACACACACAGACACGCACGCGCGCGCTTACGCTTTTACCTCAGTCCCACCGAAGCCAGTTCGAAGAAGTCCTGGTCTCCAGGTCCCACACTGAACGACGCCTGCGCACACACTAATGGCCCGCGCGGACTCTACTTCCCGGCAGCCTCAGCAGGTTTCGCTCCCTAGATCCCTAAGGGTTGTAAGGGCGTCGAACCACTCAATGTTGAAAGGTCTTCTGGGAAATTGAGTCCGAGTCCCCGTGCCCTGGGACTCTAGTTTCTCTGGGAAATGTAGTCTTGGATTTCCGTCTGCGCAGGCTCAGAGGCAGAGGCAGCTCTTCGGAACCGGAGAGTGTGAGAGGGATAAGGAGAACCTCTGCCAGGTGCCGGGGAGAAGGAGCGGGATTGGTAAGGGGGCGAAAGACGAGGGTGGGGCTGGGGGTGGGGAAGAGGAGGAACAGAGACTCGGTCATCATGGTAAACTGCCATCTGCGGCCAGTGTCCTTTTGAGTTTGCTTCTGGAGCTGTCCTCCTGCTGCGAACGGGTGCTGCTGTCCTGTCATCTGGTCCACCCCCGTCATTTACGGATGGGGAAACTGAGGCCCAGAGATAGCTAGAGGGGAAGCGACTAGCAGAAGGACTTACAGTTGTCGTCTGCAGAGTCCGGACCTGAAGCTGGGACTGGCCCCAGGTTGCCCAAGGAAGGGGAGAAGCCTGGAGTCCCTTGGGGCCATGACCCCTTCCACTCTTAGATTCTTTAAAAAAAAAAATTAACATTTTTCCTTTTATTTTCTGAACTTGAAAAAACACTAAATAAAACGAGCGTTTCCATATACATTATAATAGAGATAATTATAGGAGAAACTGAAACTATTATGTAGCCACACTACTATTGTTTCTGAACTTCCTCCTCTAAGTACATGGGTTAAGACCACTCCTTATCCCAGAACAACACGCACACACCTCTGCTTTGGCCTTGTGCTATTTGACATTTTTATCGAATACTTAAATAAGGGCACGGGAGGCATGCTTATCAAATGTACAAGTAACACAAAGCTGAGAGGGAGAGCCAACATGTCAGGATCAGAAAAAAATGTGGATAGGCTAGCTTGACATTGGGTTGAGCCTAGTAAAATAAAATTTAATAGGACCAGTCTTAGAGTTTCAAAAAATTAATCTTACCAATATAAGATGGGAAGCATATGGCCAGACAAAAGTTTGCATGTAAAATATCTGGAGATGTTAGTGGATTGCAAGCTCAATATGAGGCAATGGTATGATACAGCAGGCAGAAAAATTAATATGCTCTTGGGCTGCATTGTGAGAAGCATAGTGTCCAAGATCAGAGATTTGATAGTCCTACTACACTCTGGCTCACGTCAGATGATCAGAATACTATCTTCAGTTCTAAATGACACATTTTTGGAAGGATATTGATAAGGTGGATATTATCCAGAGGAAGATAGCAAAGGGCCATTCCATATGAGAATGATTTAGCTAGAGGAACTGGTGATGTTTGGTCTGGAGAAAACTTAGGGAAGACAAAATAGCTGTTGGTTCTTAAGTATTTGAAAAGTTGTCAATTAGAAGAGGGATTAAATATGCTCTGTTTGGCCCCAGATGGCAAAACTAGGAGGAATGGGTGGAAGATGCAGTGGTAGATTTAGATTTGATGTCAGGAAAAAATTCTTAAGAATTAAAACTCTTCAAAAGTTGAATTCACTACCTCAGGACCAAGGTGAGTCTCCCTCTTGGGAGCTCTTCAAGCAAATGTTGGATGATCAGTTGCTGAGAATGTGATGAGGAGATTCTTATTCCTTTACGGGTTAGACTAGATAGACTGAGGTTCTGTCCATCTCATAAGATTCCATAATCCTATAAGCAGTTGGGCACAGTGATGACTGGTAAGATCAATATAACAGCAGTGTGTAAAGCAGACTGCATGGGAGAACTTTAAGACAGGAAGATCATTTAGGAAGTTAAAGTAGGTTGGACATGGAAACAGGAGACCTGATTTTGGATCCCACCTTAGATTCTAGAGTGTGACTCCAGGTACAGTATGTCACCTTTAAGAACTTGTTTCCCTATCTGTAAAATGGGAAACAGAGGTCATGCACAAGCCACCTCATATGGTTGTTACAAGGAAAACATTTTAGGGGAATTTTAGTGTTATAAAAATGTGAGCTACTATTTTGTATTAATGCTGCAAAAGATCAAGAATGAAATGATAAAGGCCTTAACTAGGTAGGTATCAGTGGAAAGAGAAAAGAAGAGATGGGTATGAGAGAAATTAAAAATAAAGGGGATTGATCACAGGAGTCTCCTTGATAGAACTTGATGTCTTTACTGGGTGATAAGCCTTTGTTTGAGGACTTTGACTGTAGCTCTCTATGGAGGATATAGACATGCCCACTGGTACTCCTGGATCTGTTCAGGCCTCATTTAGGATAAGTGATTGAGTCTCAACAATTGGAAATGAAATGATTGGCTCTTGGGAGTCATCCCTGTGTACAGGATCAAAAACAAAAAAAAAAGTGGTCAGTGGCAGTTAGCTTTAACTGATACATTCTGAAAAAGCAACAAAGAAAGGACCTGTGGTCAAGGGAACATTACTTGCACTCTGCCAACCATAGGAATTGCTGACGGCTACTTTGGGGCAGAGGCATTTGGTAATTCCATGTGACCTGAGAGGAAATTTACTGGACTTGAAACTCCTGGTCCAAACCATAGAGACACATTTCTGTAACCTTTCAGTCCACTAGACAGAAGCAATGGCAAGGGAAACCATATAGCCAAATGACTGTAATCCTAACTACAGGGAAAGTTGAGACTGATAGATCTTTTGAGCGCAGAGTTCTGAGATGCATCGGGCTATGCCAATCAAGTGAACTATATCTGGAAACAACTCAGTGAGATCTCTGGGACAGTTGGCCACCAGGTTGCCCTAAGGGGAAACAAATCAGCCAAGACTGGAAACAAGGAAGGTCAAAACTTCCAGACTCATCAGTAGTAGGATCAGGCCAATGAGTGGTCCCTGCTTATCCAGCCTGGGTGAAAGGAGAATTAGTCTTAAAAAAAAAAAAAGAGAGAGACAGAATGGAATAGTTATTCCCTGAGTAGTACTGACATTTGGAGTAGAAGACCGTGAACCTCTTTGGCTATCAGCAGCAGTTGAATAAACAAGGGGATAAACCCATGGCGTCGGGAAGGGAAAAATCCCCAAACAAAAAAAAATCATGGATTTTCTCTTCTATTAATACCATGAATTTTCTTTCAGATAGTACAAGTTGGATAGGATTATAGTTTCTACTCCCAAGAGCATTTCCCATGTAGAAGAGGTCAAACATTTAGAACAGTATAACAAAGCTAAAAGATCTTCATGAATTCTCTGGTTAAAAAAAAAATCAATACTAAATGGCTAAAATGAAATCCAGTGCCAATCCTATATTCAAAGATTTTCACTTCTGATGTAAGACCTGCTAGAGCCTCTACTTTAGCAACCTTAAAAAACCCAGGGTAACCTATACACCAAAATAAGGCAGCAAAGTAGTCAATTAGTATTTATTAAGTGCCTACCAAGTGGCAGGCACTATGTTAAAACACTGGGGATACAAAGAAAGGCAAAAACAAAACAAAAAAACAAACAAAAAAACTCAGAATCTGTTCTCTAGAAGCTCACAGTCTAATGAGAAGGACTTTATTGGAGGATGCATGCTGTGTTTCGCCTTTTCAGTGTGTTGAACCTATTAACTTCTGCTGACATCTTAATTCTTTTGAGCAGCAATCTGATCCTTATTTTCAGTATTTTAGAGAAAAAATTTTTTGTAGATTTTCCTGAAATATTGTGATCAGACTCGGAATATGTCTATTTTCACAGGATTTTCAAGAGCCCGATAGTTTTCGATTTGTTTCCATGATCTGTTGTCTCGGTCCTTCACCTTTGCTGGCAAAGCTTCCAGAACTTTTCTAGTTGAGTAATTCTGGGTTTGGTTTTTTTGTTTATTTGGGTATTGTTTCAGCTATTCTGTCTTAAAGTAAAATCATCATTTTTGTGAGAGACATCACTATCTGGAGACATACTCTAGAATTTAAAGTGGGATCCAAAATCAGGTCTCCTCTTTCCATGGCCAACCTACTTTAACTTCCTAAGTGGTCTTCCTGTCTTAAAGTTTTCCCATTAAGTCTGCCTTGCACACTGCTATCATTTTGTGAGGGACATTGTTCCACTTATGTTCTCCGTTGATATTTCCAAGCTAGTCATCATTCCTGGGAATACTTAGTAGCTTTTAGTTTCTTCTTTAAGTAATTTCATGTTTATATTATACTTTGATGTATCACAGTAATTTCAGCTTTGTTTCTGAGGCCACACACAGGATTAAATCATTTTCTTTTTCATTTTGGCTTCATCTCCTCTGAATCCATAACTTTTATTCAACTTGATCAAAGTTTACTTTTAGTGTGTCTTTTTTTTAAAAAACTATGTTCTTTTCAGGGTTTCTAGACTACTGCATCTATTGTTGGTATTTCTACTTATGTTTTTTAGGGAAGTATTGAAGAGATAGATTCTCTTTCAACTTTTAACTCCTCAATCTTCCTGCACATCCCCAAATCAAATATTTGTGTATTCGATGTGTTGTGCATTAACAAATTTAAGTAGATATGTAAGGCAGGGTATCCTAGAAGTCACATTTTTGTATTGGAGTATCTGAGGTCAGATTCATGTAGTACACATAGATGACACACTCAACAAGTTTGGTAGCTAAAAAGAGAAAATGAAAATTAGCCAGAAAGGGAAATAGATATGAGATTTAGAATAAAATCAATTTTTAACCTTTGTGGGGTTTATTGTCCATACTCTGATTCTCTAACAAACTGCCCAAGATCATTATATTCTCAGGATTTTTCTCTGGCTTACTATCTTTGATGCTGCTACAAAAAGTTTTCTCCCACATATTTTATAGATAAAATTTCTCTCTAGTTGAGGTCCTTTGATATAGAGAAACAGATGAATGTCTAGAGATTTTCCTACATTCACAGAGCTTTTCTTCCAGGGCAAATTTTCATGAACGGTAAGGGATGAAGAATTTAGGAAGTGTTTTCCACATTTATTACGTTTTTAGAGATTTTCCACCGTGTGAGTCATCCTATGTCTCATAATGCCAGTTCTATGTCAGAAAGCTTTCCCACATTCACTGCATTTATAAGGTTTTTCTCCAGTATGAATTCTTTCATGTTCAGCGAGGGACGAATGTTTAGAGAAGGCTTTCCCACATTTATCACATTCATAGGGCTTCTCTTCAGTATGAATCCTTTGATGTAGAGAAAGAGATGAATGTCTAGCAAAGGCTTTCTCACATTCATCACATTCATAGGGCTTCTCTCCAGTATGAGTTTTCTTATGAACACCAAGGGATGAGGGATTTAAGAACGGTTTCCCACATTCACTACATTTATAGGGACTTTCTCCTGTGTGAATCAGCTGATGTCTCATAAGGCCACTTCTATGTCTGAAAGTTTGCCCACATTCATTACATTTATAAGGCTTCTCTCCAGTATGAATTCTCTCATGTTTAGTAAGAGACAAATGTTTAGAGAAAGCTTTTCCACATTCACAGTTATATGACTTTTCTCCAGTATGAATTCACTTATATATAGTAAGATATGAATGGTTCAAGAAGGCTTTCCCACAATCTTTACATACATAAGGTTTCTCTCCAGTATGTGCTAGCTGTTGTCGAGTAAGATTACATTTCCAACTAAACAGTTTCCCACATTCCTTACATTCAAAGGAACTCTCTCTACTGTGACTTCTCTGCTGTTTGGTAAGACATGAGCAGTCAAAGAAGGATTTCCCACATGTGTGACATTCATGGCCTCTATCATTAGTGCAGTTTTGTTGGTAGGTGATTAACACTTGACTGAAATCTCTCTCATGGAAAAGGGATGTTTCCCATGTCTTGCCTTTAGAGTTTTCTTTCTTTCTATCCAATGTGCATTCAGGTACATAGATTCCACCAAATGCAAGGTCTAAAGGAACCATTACTATCCCTGGTCATTCTATTTCTTCAGAAATGTTTAACTTTGGAGATGACTTGTGGATGTTCAGGTTGGCTCTCCCAGTCTAAAACCAAGGAAAAAGATAAATAACAATTAAAAGAAAATAATAAAATTGAAAGCCATGCCAATGAGACATACAGGCAGTTCTCAAAAACACACATGTAATTTAGAGAGAACCACAGGACCAAAGATTTAGAGACAGAAGGCAACTTAGACATCATTGAATCCAAACTCTTCATTCTGTAGGAGAGTTATAGGCTCAGAGTTACAAAACTAGTTTAATAAGTGTCTGAAGTAGGATTCAAAACCAGGTCTTCCTGACTCCAATTCCAAAGCCCTATCTACTATTCCAAGCTGCCTCTCATTAAGGAAGCTAGCTCACTAAGTAAGCTGATCAGAGGTCCCATCCAAGAGTGTGATAAGATTCAGCAGAGAAATAAGTTATATGGAGGAAATGCTGAGGAGTAGGAAGTTAAGGAATGAATAGGAAAGAGGATGGGATTTGGGAGAATGAACTTCTAGTGAATAGGGAATGATCATCCTAGGGAAAGGATAAAGAAGGAGGAAGAGCTGGTATGTGGTAAAGGATACACATAGAAAGGGAAGAAGATTGATTCATAATGGAAGAAAAGGTGATACTTCACTTTAGGAAAAGAAGGAAAGCTAGCTTTCTGTTCTGGGTTGTTAATGGCAATAACACGTGTGGTAAGTCTTGAGACCACTGAAAACAGCCCCTTTTCACCAAACTGCTAAGCTGTATTTTCAGTGATTTCTGAATTTCTGATTCATAATCACTCACCTGAAGAATTTTTTGGCAACTGTTGTTCTTTAATTCTTGGCAGATTAAGAATCCACAGCTCTTTGCCTTGTTCTAACTGGAAGACCACATCAGGTTTAGATATGGAAAACCCTGTTTTTGGGAAAGAAATATTAATATTAGTCAACATTTATATGGCATTTTAATTTTTGCAAAGGCTTTGCATATACTGTCATCAACCCTCTGAGACAAGTACTACAGGCATTATTATCTCCATTTTCCAGTCAAAGAAATTGTTTTAGAGAGATTATGACCTTCCTTCCTATAATAAGAGTTATTGGCCTAAGGACAAAAAATCATCTTGAAGTCACTAGTCTACACAGACCCATCCACACACAGATTCAATAGTACCTTATAACTTGCTGGTCTTTCCACTCCTAACACTTTGTGTGCAACACTTTCATACTTATTGTGATGGAGAGAACACTTCATGTCCCAGTAGGAAAATATCTCTAGACCCTCACACACTGAAAAGATTCTTATTATTAGACTCTGAGGCACCTCTAATCCCCCTGGCTTGGCTGCCTTCACATTCAGAGAGGCACTCAGATTTTCATCTGTGTTGGGGTGATAGCCCCACAGTCACAGAGTTCCAACATAAAATTAATTCTTAGGGGCAGCTAGGTGGCGCAGTGGATAGAGCACTGGCCCTGGATTCAGGAGGACCTGAGTTCAAGTCCGGTCTCAGACCCATAACATTTACTAGCTGTGTGACCCAGAGCAAGTCACTTAACCCCATTGCCTAGCCAAAATAAAATTTAAAAAAATATATAAAATTAATTCTTTCCCCTTCCATGCATACACCCATTCTTAGCTCTTTGCTGTACCAACTGTCCATTCTCTTTGTAACCTCTTGAAAATAAAGAATTCTATTTCCAACTTCTTCATGACTCAAATGCATGTTGCCTGCTCCTGTTGTTCAAGTAAGGGAACATTCTGACTGCTTTTTTAAAAACTGAGGGTGGAGTGATAATCAAAGATAGATGTGCATACATAATCCTTTCCCCTCCCCTAAGTATCTGGTTGCTTTACCTTGGCAATGTCTATTCTAACACTTTGCCCTCAAAAGCAGAGGACGGAAACATAGACTCATATAATGTTAGAGTTGGAGGGTAAAGAATGATCAAAGCATGTGATTGCAGATGCTTTAGGAAAGACTTCAGAGCCAGAAGTACAGTGATAGCTAAAGCTATGTGAATGGATGAGATCTTGAAGGAAGAAAATATAGAGAACACTGAAGGCAGAACTTTGGAATACATATTTTGGGGAGGCAGAAGGAAGAAAAGGGGCACAGAAATGATCAGAAAGGTAATAGGGAAACCAGGATGATGTAACATCATAAAAGAAAATTGAAAAGAACAGAAAGTTTCTGGGAATTGGTGATGTCAAATGCTAAGAGAGTTCAAGCAGAATGGAAATCGAGAAAAGGTCATTGGACTTGGGAAATGGGAGGCATTTTTCACAGACTTAGTGGTACAGTTAATTTTTGTTTAATAGATAGTCTTATACTGTGTTAACAACTATCAGTAGCACCTTATTTATGACAGCTGAGTCCTGTTATGTGTGCCGAAGGTAGCATTTCACTAAGACAATTTTACTAATACCTAATGATACCTCTCAGCTAATGGTATTGGGCAAGAATAAGGTAGTGCAGACATTTCCTAGGCAGAAATGTTAAAAGCCTCATTAGAACTATCTGCAAAAGAAGAAAGGTAGATAACTAAGAGAAGCATCTGAAACCAAAAAAGAAGAGGTCAAAGGAAAACTAACATGTCATAAAAGGAGAAACACAAATTATTTACAGTCATATGAAGGAATGCTCCAATTGATTAATAAAAGAAATGCAAATCAAACAACTCCAAAGTTTCATCTCACACCAAGCAAACTGGAAAAGATGAGAAAAGATAAGAATAGTCAATGTTGGAAGGGGCTGTGGAGAGATAGGCATACTAATGCATTTTGGTGGAACATTGATACAATCATTCTGAAATGACTATATCAGACAAAAAAAAGAGGCAAAATTACCCATACTCTTTGACCTGTAGATTCTACTCTTAATTATAAACCTCAAGGAGATCACTGACAGAAAGACTCTATAATACACATCAAAATATTTATAAAACTTTTTGTGGTACCAAAGAATTGGAAGCAAAGTAGATGCTCATGGGCTAAATAAACTGTAGTGAATGAATGTAACGGAAAACTACTGGGCTGTAAGAAATGACTAAGATGATACATTATATGTTTACATATTATATATAAAATATATTATATTATAAAAGTATATATAAATAAATTATAAATATGATGAATACAGAGAAATGTGGAAAGACTTACATAAGTGACATAGACAGAGCCAGAAAAACAAAATAGCAGTGATTTCAGCAATGTAAATGTGAAGAACGACCACAAAAAAGTAAAACTGAATATTGCAAAATTATAAAGACCAAGCTTGTCACCAAAGAAGAGAAGACATGTGTCTCTCTCTGCTGAAACACTGCATATAATGTCAGAATTTGGGGGATATATTGATTGGTTTTGCTGATTTTTTTTCTCTTCCAAAAAAATTCTTTCTTATACAGGATAGTTGTCTGGGAAAGAAGAGGAATGGATACAGAGGGAAATCTAGGTGATGTAAAACAAATGGTATCAGTAAAGATCTATCATTTTTTAAAATATTTTTAAAAGAATGTCTAACTTCCAAACTTCTAATTAGTAGGTAAATTTTTTTTTGGTTTTTTTTTTGTTTCTTTTTTTTTTTGGCAAGACGATTGGAGTTAAGTGACTTGCCCAGGGTCACACAGCTAGTAAGTGTCAAGTATGTGGTCTGAGACTGGATTTGAACTCAGGTCCTCCTGACTCCAGGGCCAGTGCTCTATCCACTGCGCCACCTAGCTGCCCCAGGTGCATAGAATCTTGATAGGAAGAGGTGAGATGAGAGAGAGGCAGCATTAAGAAGTGGGAAAAAAAAATGGATTTTGAGTCAGAAGTAACCCACAGTAGCTAGCGATGTGACAAGAAGCCAATTGACCTTTTCTGGCCTCAGTTTATTCCTCTGTAAAATAAGGGCATGCAATTTCACAGCCTCTCAAAGCAGCAGTCCCACTTGTGATCAGCTCTAAGTGTTAGGAAGTTTCTCCTGACATCAAACCTAAATTTGCTTCTTTGTAATTTTCACCACTGCTTCTGGCTCCAGCTTCTAGAGCCAAACAGACAAGTCTAATCCCTCTCCCACACAAGTCCTTCAAATGCTAGATGACCTCTGTGTTCCCTTCTGGCTCTAAACGTTGGCTCCTTTCGAAGGTCCTTTCCAGACTTTCTTTTTGACTGTGAAATTAACATCTCAAGATCTACAGAACAGGGACGCGGGGCAGAGCCAAGATGGCAGAGTAATAGGAAGCAATGCAGTGATGTCTTTTTCACAAACTCTTCCCAACAAATTCAGAAAATGCACTAGATTGAATCCTGATGGGAAATCCAGAAAAAGTCAGTCCTTTGTCCAGTCCACTTTGACATAGTCCTTTGTCCAGCCCACTTTGACATAGGGAGAGACTGAAGTTTTTGGACACTGAAAACAAGTCAGGCCAACAGCCTGCTGTTACCCTTGGAGCTCTCCAGTGCCCAGGGAGAGACTATTCACTAGGGCAAAAAGAGGTCTAGGACTCAGACTGCGACATCTTCAGACATACACCAGGGCACTGCAATGGGGTCAAGTGTCAACAGGCACTTTGTCACCCATAATCCAGTCCTGGTTCACAGATCCAGGGCTGAATGCCTTGGGCAGTGTACAGAAAAAGAAGTAGGTCAGAAGCTAACAGCAGCAGCAAAAGCAGCAGCAGTGTAGCTCATTTCTCAGAGCTACATTTCAAATGTCTAGCCCAGCCTAGAGAGGAGTAACCAGGGCAGGAATCCCACACTAAAGAGAAGCCTAGATTCTGCTACTCTGAACCAACAGCTTTCCAGTTGACTGACAGGGACAGAGTCCAGCAGCATTTACTCTTTCTCAGACCCAAACTCACATTAGGAACTTGCAGAGCTCAAACCTGAAGGGCAGCAATCAGTCCTTGCCCTGGGGATCAGACCACTTTGAGAGCACTGAAAGCTTACAATCCACAGCCTGTCCTTGAGATTCTGGATTAACACAACACTCAGTACCCCAAAAAAGCAGCAACAGGTCCAGCCCAGGCCTTCCCTCCAGAAATACCACAAAGTCCAGCCTTAACAACAAGTCTGAAATTAGGAAGTAAGCTGGAAGAATGGGCGAATGAAAAAAGAGCCTCATAATGAGCTATTATAAGTGGCAGGGACATACAAGACACAACAAAGAAAAATGACTCTAAAACATCTGCAAGCAAGACCTAAGAGAACAACCCAACTTGGGCACAAACTCAACTAGAATTCCTGGAAGAGATGAAGCAAGAGTTAAAAAAGAATTAATTTTTTTTCATAAATGGAATGAGAGCACTTGAGGAAAAAAATGGCAAAAGAAATGAGAACCATGGAAAAAATAACCGGAAAAGGAATTAATAGTTTGGCACAACAGGTTCAGAATGTTGCCCAAGCAACAGACTCCCTGAAAATTAGAATGAACCAAATAGATCCAATGATTCCATGAAACAACAATACATATTAAAATAAGTCCAAAGGCTGAAAAAAAAATAGAAGAAAATATAACGTTATCTCATAGAAAAAAAAAACCAAACCTGGAAAAAAGATCAAGAAGAAAAGAATCACTAGATTATCTGAATGCTGTAGACCAAAAAAAGAGCCTACATATCATATTTCAAGAAATCTTAAAAGAAAACTGCCCAGATCTCTTAGAACCAGGAGGGAAAGAAGAAACAGAAAGCATCCACTGGCTACCTTCTAAAAGAGACCCCAAAATGAAAAATCCTAGGAAAAATATTGCCAAAATCCATATCTTTCAGCTCAAAGAAAAAACAAATATTGTAAGCAGCCAGGAAGAAAGAATAGAGGTAGTGAGAAGTCATAGATAGGATCATACAAGAGTTAGCAGCCACCACTAAAAGAAAAGAACTTGGAATATGATACTCCAGAAAGCAAAGGATCGGGGCCTCCAGCCAAAAATTACTTACCCAGCAAAACTGAGTATAATGTTACAGGGTGGAAAAAATGGACCTTAAATGAAATAATGGACTTCTAGGCATTCCTGATAAGAAGGCCAGGTCTATGGAGAAACTCTGAAGCACAAATACAGGACTGAAGGGAAATATAAAAAGGTAAACATGAATGAACAATGATATATAAAGAACTAACCAAGGATAAATTGCTTACATACAAATATGATACATGAATATCCTCTGGATACTATCATCATCAGACTTCATAGAGGAAGTCCAATTACACAAGGCCTGAGAATAGTTCTGTTGTGTCTTGATGATATTAAGAATGGAAAGAGAGGGAAGAAGAATACATTGGGAAGAGGGAAAGGGAAAGGAAGGTTAGGGAGAATTGCTGCACAAGTAAACACCTATACAAACAAGGAGAAGAGGGTGGAGGGGAGTGACTGACAGTTGAACTTCATTCTCATCTAAATTGGTCAAAAGAAGAAAGAAAACATACACACAGAGATGGGTACAAACATACATTTCACTGAATAGGGAACTAAAAGGGAAAGGGGAGAATGGGGGGGGGAATTAAGGGATAGTAGAATAAGGGAGGGATTAGTCCTAAACAAAACAAACTCTAATGACCTACAAGGCCCTCTGTTTGTGAAAAAGAATGGGAATCTGAGGAGGGGTGCCCATAAATTGAGGAACAGATGAACAACTTATGGTATATAACTATGATGGAATACTGGTGTGCTGAAATCTCATCAGCGTAATAACCAACCAGAATTCCAGAGGACTAATGATGAAAAATGACAGAGCTGGATGTGATCAATGTAGAAATTTGTTTTGATTGACTACACATGGTAATGGGTTTTGTTTTTCTTGCTTTCTGAATGGGGAAGGGGGGAAACTGAGAGGGAGAGAAGGCAGTTCTTTGAAAATAAAATAAATTTTAACTTAAAAAACAAAGAACAGAGAAAAGCTATAAAAAACTGCAAACATTTGTTAGGTAGAATGTTTTTAAAAAAGAACTAGGAATACAATACCTACATATGTATGTAAATTCATATATACATGTGTATTTGTATGTGCATGTATATATGCGTATATGTTTATACATATATACATAGGCATACTGTATACCTGTACATGTATATCCTGTATATATACATATATGTATATGTGTGTATGTATACACACAAACATAAACATATACAAATATAAACACACACATATCTGTCCCATGTACATGTCCCATAGACTCTGTATATGTGTGTGTATGGAGAGAGAGCGTAGATGGAGACAGAGAAAGAGAGAGGGATGGAGGGAGAGAAAGAGAGAGGGAGGGAGGGGGGGAGAGAGGGAGAGAGAGAGAGGGAGGGGGAGAGAGAGAGAGAGAGAGAGAGAGAGAGAGAGAGAGAGAGAGAGA